TATACAGGCAGTGTTACTTCCCCAACGGTCTGTTTCACCTCACCGCTGAACCCTATCAATGGCACAGACTTTCGAGTCAGCTCTTCTTCCTTTAGGCCTAATCCTTGAAAAGCTTCCATGTAAAGGATGTTTGTTGAACTCCCATTGTCGATTAATATCCTTTTTATCAAGCAATTAGCGATTGTTAAGGATATGACTAACGCGTCGTGATGGGGACCTAGAACACCTTCGCTTTCATTTGTCGTGAAGCTGATTGAACATGCTGGGGTAGCATCACTTGTGACATCGCTACCTATTTTGTGATATCTAGCAGTTCTCATGTTCTTCTTAGCTGCTGAGTACGATACTCCGCTAACTTCTGAACCTCCAGTGATCACGTTGATAGTTCTGTCATGCCTAGGAGGTGAAGTAGGAGCAGACTTGGGCGAAGTTTCGTCACCATCTCTTGTCGATTCTGCTTCTACTTCGTTCAGACAAAATTCTCTCAAGTGACCCTTTTTTAGTAGCTCGTTTACCTCCATCTTTAACGTGATGCAATCTTCTATTCGATGACCATGGTCATCGTGAAATTCACACCACTTTGACGTGTCACGTTTATCACTTGACATCTTTCATTTTTTGAGGCCATCTTACTACTGCCCCCATCTGCCTCAATGCACCTATCAACTCTGCATGCGAAATTGATAGGTTGCTGATGTCTGGCCACGTTGATGATGAACGCTTCTCACATTCACTTTCGTTGAATGGTCGGTGACTGCCTCTGTTATCGCTTTTGCTACCAGTACTATCACTGCGAGGTCTCTTGTAGGGTTTATCGTCCATGTTGGTTCTTTCACTCCTTGTCTCGCGTGACTCATCTCGTGGGGAGCGTCATTAATAATAAGCAGGATCTTCTTCCCACTTGATTTACGCCCATGCTCTTGAGAGCACGTCTTCCATGGTTTTGTACTGCTACTTAGTCAGTTTTTTGTACAGGCACCATCTGGTAGTAGACCTCGTTTAAACGCCAATATGGCAGTAGACGTGACAAAACTCGGGATGGATACTTTTTCCTTGTTGAAACGTCCCACGTAATAGCGTATCGGTTTGCCTTCCTTTTGGATCACCTCATAGAGGTAGTCTGCTGTCTTCTCAAGGTTCCTGCTACTTGCAAATTGTTCAACAAAACGATCAGTTAGTAAAGCAAAGGAATTTATTGACCCGTTGGATAGGTTTGTAAACCACTGCAGCGCAGGTCCCGTGAGATGAATCAAACCCTTTACACATGCTGGCCTCCCTGTACTCTCTCGCGATTGTAGTGGTAAACATTCGTTGTTTGTATTGTGCGATGTGATTGTCAGGGTCCGTCGTTCCGTTAAACATCATCATCGAGGGAAACGAAAATCTATTTGGCATCTCTACAAGCACGAACTCGTCCGTGAATGGAGTATCCGCGTAGTAGTTAGGTGCGCTATTTGTTATTGGTGGTGCTACACCATGAAGTCGCTTAATCATCGCTTCTGATATTAGTCCTTGATTCTGGTCTTATAAGTTTAAACCTAGGTATCACTAATTCGATGTAGAATAGTGAGGTTCGTTAAGGGACCAGCAATACTCTCTAATCCTATGGGGTACAAGTCCAGCTAAGCGATCAAAAGGTGTTTAATTGTCACGATTAACCAAAGCAAATAAAAGTAAAATTCGGTTGAAAACAATAGAAGAAAAGAGTTAGGTCAAATGATATTTCAGGGATTATGACATCAAAACCAAGCAATTATTCAGGTTATCAAGTTATGAACCAATCTAGAACTCAACCATAGATTCAAGAAGACCCACTGTCGTGGCATCAACTACTTCAATCAAACAATCTAACACCCTAAACTGTCGTTTATGGTTACAAAGAATGAAGAGCATTAAACGATTAGGGTCGATTTGTTCACGAGTTGCTTTAACTTCAACTTTCGTTGGCTAAAGACAACTCGCCCACCTAAGTCAATTCCAGAAAGATTTCTTAGCTGAACACATACGATGGTCGCACCATCCGTACCCCGATCCGCTGATCAAGCCTAACGACAAAATCAAGCTCGACCTCGAAGCAAACAAGATTGTCGAGTTTATCAAGTTTGATGTAGGCAACGTAGTGACGGTGACTGGAGGAAGAAACAGAGGGCGTGTTGGAATGATAAAGAACCGTGAAAAAACACAAGGGAAGCTTTGAAACAATCCACATTCAAGACTCAACAGGACATGAGTTTGCTACGAGATTGGGAAATGTGTTCACAATAGGGAAAGGAACAAAACCATGGGTGTCTCTTCCAAAGGGAAAAGGTATTAAGTTGACCATTATTGAGGAAGCCAGGAAGAGACGTGCTGATCAACAAGCTGCTTAAACACTATACTCTGTTTTCCAGTTTTCAGAACAAACTATGCTTTAGTTTGCCTTTAAGAATTTTCTTTTGTTTTGAAACGTACCTTTTGGGATCATGTTGAGCAATATTTGGACATTTTGTGCTATTATGCACTGGCCTCTCATTGGCTAATATTGAGCAATTTTTGGACCTTTTGTGCTATTATGCACTGGCCTCTCATTGGATCGTTATGAACAACTTCTTCGTGCTCTCTCACCTCTTGCTCTGTTTTCAGTAAATTCTCATAGTTAGATTAAAAAAAAATCAACATTAGCCTATTTTTTTAATGAAAAAAAACGTGGCCTATATTTTTAATTTTAAATGTTTTTTGGCCTATTATCATAATTTTTCCTATATAAAAAGACAATTTTTGAAAAAGCGGTTATATAAAAAAGATAACTCTTAGAAATAATTATAAAGCAGTTATATTGAAAAGACGCAATCTTTCAAAATAATCAATAACTAAGTTTTTTTCCGAAGACGTAATTTTTAGAAATAACTATAAAGCAATTATTTTTGAAAGAACACAACCATAAAGTGGTTATCTATATAGTAGATGCAACCTTTGAAAATAACCATTATACGGGATATCGAAAAATGTAACTCTTAAAAATTGGTTATACAAAAAAGATGCAACCTTATAAATAACCATTAAACGGTTATTTCGGAAAAGATACAACCTTAAAAAACCATAAAATAGTTATGTCGAAAATGCAATTCTTGTAAAATCGTTTATATGGTAAAAACGTAACCCTTGGCCCACAAAACAAACGTTTCTCCTTCCTTACTCATTTCACGGATTGGAACCATAGCAATTCGTATAACCAATAAAACAATTCGTAGATTTTTACGCCATTTAAATTGATTCATTTATAATTTAGCATTTTAAATCGTTCAATGCATATAAAAAATATAATTGATAACCAAATTGTTTGTGGGAGCCTCTATTTTGTAGTAATGTTAACGCGGCTTCAATATTTCAATGTATACAACCTGTAAAAACTTCTTTCAAATATAAAGAATCAATGTTTTCGTAGGATATTGTTAAATCTAAAAATTCACTATATGTACTACCTATTTCATAAAATCTGCATTGTCTAAAAAATCTAAAATTCTTTACACAAATCAAGAATTTTTGGAACTTCTACAATAGTAAAAAGATTAACACTATTAAATAATTTGAAAATAATCAAACGACTTTTTTATCTTTGCTATGTGTTAATTAAATTACAGAATCAGTAGGCCTGATTAACAAAATATTCAATGGGATAAAACGTGAAAAGAGAGATATATATATATAGGTAAAACGGTTTGTTTCGAAAAGACGCAACTTAAAAATAACCATAAAGCGGTTATGTCGAAGAAACGCAACTCTTGACAAAACGGTTATATTGAAAAGACGTAATTTTTGACAAAACGGTTATATCGAGATAATGCAACTTTTAGAAATAACTATCCAACGGTTTTTTTTACGAAAAGACACAACTTTTCGAAAAGACACAACTCTTAAAAACAACCACTATATATAAACCGAGAAGACACAACAAAAAATAATCATTTTTTGGGGGTTTGCTATTATATATAGATTACTATGCAGCTCATTGTAAGTTTGTATAAACCATACCAATGACAATTTGTCATTGATCTAGTATGCTGTAACTTTCATGGTGGGATACAGCGAGAGTCAATCGTCAAAATATATTTATGTTGTTACTCTTTGCTGAAGCAAAAAGAAAAAACATTGAATACATCAGAACAGCATTTCAATCAATTACTACACAGGTCGTTGTATACTTGTACTCGTCCCAATTATGAACATCGTGCACTCACATCTACAAGCTCCTGGTTTGTAACTTTGTATTAATTTTGTTAACTTATCTCCAGTTATCTTTTCGATCATTGTTAGCTAAGTATTAACACGAAGTGGAGTACGAGAGAATTAAGGAAGTAAGTAATTATACATTTAGAGGTCAGGCTATAAATATATGGAGCAATTTTGCTACATTTGGGGTATCATTGATAACTAAATTGTAAGATTTTGCTTCCAGATTCGGATATGTAACAATAAATTATTATCTTGCTTATCGCCAAGGGTTTGGATGGCTAAAAAATGTTTCTCCAGGGGAAATACTGACAAAATCAGTTCACAAAATGCCATTGCCGATAAGCTTGCCATATTGGACAATCTCAATTTCATTCTTGTTGTTTTTATCATTATGCCCCAATTTGTATACAACATTTGCTCTGATGAGTTTCTTGTACCAAATTTTCAAGATTAATAAATAGACGTTCAAAAGAAAAAAATCAGTTCACAAAATCAGTTCACACTAGACAAATCTTCTCACAGGACTTGTGGACATTATTTATGGGAAGCATAGAGAAATCAAATCAAACTATTGAAGTGAGATATCAACCAAGTATCATCAAATAGATTCGGAGAATGCCCTTGTGTTCCAACACAAACTATAATAAATCTTCACTACCTACTAGCTCGACTCAATGACATTTTCCAATTGGTCCCACATTTTGTCCGAACACACACAGCACCATCCACAATATTGGTAGTATACTCACCATTAATAAAAAAACTCCAACACCCATTTAAAAGTTTCCTTAAGAAGATCGAAGCCTACTACTATCGTTCGACGATCATCCCATAGTTGCATTAACCAATAAAGTGACCCATTCCATAAATATGGGCTTCCAAATATCCGGTAACTTGAAGTGTGCGCCACGTGCCTCAAAGTATCAGCCCTAAAATCGAAAACTTCGCACATAATAGACACATAAGAACTAGATGAATACACTACTACTTTGTAACCGTGTGGGCTCGGTTCTTGTCTTTGCTCATTGTCGATAAATAGTTGAAGACTAGCCGGAGAAAGGATTTGTTGGAACCAAGGTATGGCCGGTTTAACGGCGTAGATGAATGCTAGCTGATCATGAGATCGCTTCAAGCAACGTCTCTCCACAAAACAGCGAGACTTGATCGTGAATCTCCACAACTTTGAAACGGAGTTGAATCGGAAGAGGGATTTCACAACAAGTCTCACGAGTATCTCCTCTACGAGCTCGTGGGGTAGGTGTTGATTCTGCATTTTAATTAGAACGATGTTTAATGTTTTGGACTTGGTTTTTTTTTCTACAACCTCGGTACGAAAACATTCTACAATATCACATTATCATTGCAAGATCTAAAGTGAAAAGTTCACAACTTTC